AGCCACACTGGCCTCCTTGCTGTCCTTCCAACAAACCAGGCATTATTCTGCTGCACGAGTAAGGGTTTAATCAAAGATACAGACTCACTAGGATAGAGAATTTGTTTTAGGAATTCAACCTTATGCAGTTGAGGTCCCTGGATAGAGTTTACAATTGTTTGTTGCTTCTGTTGCTAGTTCTGAAGTCAGCAAGGGCAGAAAGTTAGGAAGAAAAGAAAGACATAAAGTGAGGAAGACTAATTATAATATGGGACCCTTGAGGATGATCTAGAACTGATGATGAACTGGAACCCCTCATCTCTCTTCAGAACTTGAGCTGTTTCCCACTACCTCCACAATCCAGCTTTAATACTATAAGTGACCTGCTCAGAAGTTATGCTCTTTTTTTTAATGTATCTTTATCGATTTCAGAGAGGAATGGAAAGGGAGAGAGAGATAGAATCACCCATAGTGAGAGAGAATCATTGATTGGCTGCCTCCTGCACACCCCCTACTGGGGATCGAGCTTGCAACTCAGGCATGTGCCTTCCTGACCAGGAATGGAGCCATGACCTCCTGATTCATAGGTTGACACTCAATCACTGAGCCATGCCAGCCAGGCAGTGTTCTTTCTCCTAAAGCCAAACAGGCACCTGGCCCAGGAGTTGGAGAAATTGAAGGAGGACGTTCAGCAGGAGCTGGAAAAGCTGTGGCCCTGGTTGTTGCCCCATGTCAACTAAGTTGAGCCAACAGTACTTGATCTTAGACCAACCTTCTCAGCATAAAACTAGCTGCTGCTTCATTTTCACCTTAGCAATCTTAGGCAATTTTCTCTTGTGGCCAACCCTAGCCAAGGAACATAATGGAAGATGTTTGAAATTAGCTTACCCATGCCTGATTTGCTACCATACTTACCTTTAAACTTTTGCAACTTGCTCTTTCCTCTGCCTGGAATGCCACCTAGCTCTTTCCACCCATTTGTTCTATTTATCTCCACACACAGAATAATTTTTTTCAGAAAAATTATTTTCTGAAACAGGTGCATAAATCATGGTTGAGTCTGTATTTTTAAGAATATTGTCTTTCACAGTTATCAACTTCAATAAACTTAACATTGATTCAGCACTACTATTTACTCTACCACCCATACTCTAAGTTTGTCAATTGACCCAATAGAAGTCCTTTATAGAATTTTTCCCCTCCAGGTTTAGATCTAGTCTAAGATCAAGAATTAAAGTTAGCTGTTATGTCTCTGTTCTCGTTTACTACTCTGAAACATGTTCTTAGGCTTTCTTTGTCTTATATAACATTGACATTTTGGGAAAATTTTTCAATTAGAATATTCCTTATTATGAGTTTGTCTGATATTTTCTTGTGATTACATTGAAGTTGTACATTACTAACTGGAATACCACACAAGTGACATTGTGTCCTTCCCAGAGGGTCACATTGGTGATGTTAATTTTGACTACACTAAAGGTGTTTTTGATTCATCTATTGTATCAACATCATCTCATGATTTAAAATAGAACATATATTCTAGCTTTGTCCACAGGATCTAGTCCATCATGCTCCAGGGACAATTAGCACCACTATTGCCCAAATTTAGTTCTTTGAATGTCATTCTTCACTGCAAGATACTAAGGATTCTTGGAGAAATGATTGCTGTCTAGAGTAGAGAATTTACAAGGCGAGCTAGCGCCACCTTATTGTGACACAAAGCAAGTAAATTCTCAAAATCCAAGTGAGTCATGTCAAAAGTTTCTGGATCCAGCTAGAAGGAGATCCCATTGGCCAAAGATAAGACAAGTTGAACATCAAAAAGGAAAAAAAACCCCATAATTCATTGGTATGCATGGACTATATTAAAAATCCATGAATCCATAATAACACTCCTTACACCATTCAAAGGACAGGACATGCTCGGTTCTTTTACTCCAATGTGCTTTTTTGTGCACCTTGTCTGAACAGTTGCATGTTTGCTTCATCTCACAGAACTCAATGCTCAAATGACATTACCTCTAAGAAGCCTTCCGTTAAACTTCTATGTAGTTCATTGTTTCTCCATATTTCAACTCATACTGTACTGGAATTGCTTGTTTAACTATATTTTCCCCTCTGGACTGTAAGTTTATAAATATAGGACCTGTCTGGGTTTCATTTATTTTGTTATTCCAACTACATAGCATGCTCTTATAGACAGTTTGATATACTGTATACTATTGAGTTGTGAATGAATAAATTTCAGTAGTATCCCATTTCTTCTTCATCACACAATACAAATTTGTCTATATTTTATTTTATTTTTAAATATATTTTTATTGATTTCAGAGAGGAAGGGAGAGAGAGATAGAAACATCAATGATGAGAATCATTGATTGGCTGCCTTCTGCACACTCCACATTCAGGATTGAGCCCACAACCTAGACATGTGCCCTGACTGTGACCTCCTGGCTCATAGGTCAACTACTAAGCCAGATGGCTGGACCAGATTTGTCTATATTTTAGAAAATTATTGAATGCAGTTAAATAGCTGGCTATTTTAGACAACATCACATTTTTATCACAATATATTTTTAAAATAGTTTTCCCTTATCTATATATTTTTAAAATAGTTTTCCCTTATCTATCAGCAATTGTTTTGGCTTGTAAGTAGACTACAAGTTTATCCCACCATATTTTTCATAACTCATAAGTAACAGCTTTTTTGCAGTAATTTTCTTTAACCTCAGCCTGTTTTTCTCCCCCCCTACAGATCCTGGTCTGCACATATACATCCTATTTGCTAAAAGTGGGGGTGGGGGCAATGTTGAAATCAAAGTATTGATTTTTTAAACTTGTTAGTAACAGGTGTCTTGACTTAGTGTAATCATTTTTTTAAATAGTAGTTTGAAATAAATTTTCCCTTAAAGTCAATTTGGTCCAGTATCTGTAATTCACCAGGGCTATGTGTCATGTTCTCCAGTAGGACGCTTGTATCAAACCTCTCTCCTGCAACCCAGCCATCCTGGCTGGGTGGTTGTGTCCATCTAAGAACCAGGAGGTCACAGTTAGATTCTGGGTCAAGGCACATGCCGGGGTTGTGGGCTCAATCTCCAGTAGGGAAGTGCAGGAGGCAGCCGATTAATGATTCTCTCATCATTGATGTTTCTCTCTCTCCCTCCTTCTTCCTCTCACAGAAATCAATACACACACACACACACACACACACACACACACACACACCACAAAAACAAAAGCAAAAAACTCCCTCTTGCATTGTCGCAGTCGGTGTGGAATCTTCCATGTACATGTGCATACTTCCAGCCTTAGGACTTTGTGGATTTTTTAAGCATTAACAGTTTAGGTGGTAGAGATTATGGAAACCATCTGTCAAAGGCATGTGTAATGCCACCGTTTATACACAGTGAGTGGACTCCCATTAGGCGGGGACAGGTGACTGTGGATCAATGAAGTCAGCGAAGCCGCTTTACGCATGGGTCTGTGCTTGGGAGGAACCCAGGGGCTTCTTCCTAGAGCAGAACTCAGGGGCTGAAGCGCAAAAGAAAGAAGAGAACTGCGGAACCCCGGCTCCTTAGAGCCGTGCCATACGGTAGTCGGTCGCTGGCCGCGGTGCTGAACACTCTCCCGGGGTGCCCCCAGGTTGGCCGGCCGAAAGAGCCGCGGTGGGTTGGTGAGTTCGCCCGCAGCCTCCAGCCACAAGTCTTCAAAGGTTGACCCCTGGTTCTGGGCAGGGGGCCACAGCCTGCATTCAGGGGAGTCACCTCGCGAGTGTAGGGGGCCTCCAACCCATTCCCACAGGGCGCAGCTCCTGCTCCTCAACAGCAACCCTAATAACAGCAACTCAGCTTGTATTTATCCTCACAACATCCTAAAAACTTAAAAAGGCTGATAACTTTGCCCAGGTGAGCACAGCTACCCAATGACTGATCTCCCTCAATCATGCCTCAAAAAATGTTTACTGCTACCCTCGATGTGTCAGCGGTCCAGCCTCCGCTCCGCCCCATTCGCTGGCTTCACCTTCCTCCCACCGGCTCCTTTCCTTTCGCCCCTCCTCCTCTTCCGAGGTTTGCATCAGACAAAAGTAATCTACACAGCCTTTCCGCTCCCACCGCCCAGTTGGAGGACTGTACCACGGACTGGGATTCAGAACAGTTAGGCACACATCTTGCCCCTTCGCGCTCAATCCAAGTCTAGTCTCAGAGTGCCCAACTCGCTGTGTGACCTTGAACCAGTGGCCACGCGTCTCTGAGCCTGTTTCGCCTCTGGGACTACGTGATGCTCTTCCCAGGTGCGCACCGCTCCCCTCTCCGGTCGGAACACTACCACTAGGTCCCTCTTTTTTGACTCCCTACCCCCATCTTCCAAGTTCAGTTGGGCACGCTCGCTTCTCCCCACCGGGTCCAGAGCCAAGTCTACCCCTTGGCGACGGAGGACTCGGGTCTCGGCTACTGTAGGCATTGTCCCTGCCGCCCCCGCCGCCCCCGCCCCTACCCCGGTGTGACCAGCCCTCCGCGCCACGTTAGCCAGGCAGCGCCCAATGCTGGGGAGGTTGCCCCTCGCTCTCCCGTTTCGCAGCGCGGGGTCTCCGAAGTCCCCGCACCCGGACGCTTGGGAAGGTGCGAGATGCAGCTGGAGCGAGAAGGCGAAGGCCAGGCTGGGCTGACGGGGCTGCCCCGGTGACAGGTACGTGTGTGGAGGTCGGTCGGCCAGATGCTGGGCTGGGAGAGAGACTGTGGGGCAGGGGGATGGAGGAAAGGGGAGACTCCAGAAAGAGCGGTGGTCACTGTTCTCACCACGTGTGCGTGTGCGTGTGCGTGTGTGTGTGTGTGTGTGTGTCCCAGCCTCCCTTTCCCCACTCCTCCCCGCCCCAGCTCTCAATGTCACCTTCTCCCTGGGCTCCTGCTTCTCACTGTCCTCTCTGTCCTCCCCCAGCTGCCTCTCTGCGCGCCCCGCTCCGCCCGCGCCCTCTCTCGCGCCCGCGGCGACCTCCTCCCGGACCAGCGGGTCCCGCTCAGCGCCGCCTCCCCCCGGAGCCAGGCGAGCGGAGCCGGCAGCATGTGGAACGCGACGCGGACCGAGGAGCCGGAGGAGCCGGGCCTCAACCTCACGCTGCCGGACCTGGGCTGGGACGCGCCCCCGGACAACGACTCGCTGGCGGACGGGCTGCTGCCGCTCTTCCCGGCGCCGCTGCTGGCGGGCGTGACGGCCACCTGCGTGGCGCTCTTCGTGGTGGGCATCGCGGGCAACCTGCTCACCATGCTGGTGGTGTCGCGCTTCCGCGAGCTGCGCACCACCACCAACCTCTACCTGTCCAGCATGGCCTTCTCCGACCTGCTCATCTTCCTCTGCATGCCCCTCGACCTCGTGCGCCTCTGGCAGTACCGGCCCTGGAACTTCGGCGACCTGCTCTGCAAACTCTTCCAGTTCGTCAGCGAGAGCTGCACCTACGCCACGGTGCTCACCATCACGGCGCTGAGCGTCGAGCGCTACTTCGCCATCTGCTTCCCGCTGCGGGCCAAGGTGGTGGTGACCAAGGGCCGCGTGAAGCTGGTCATCCTGGTCATCTGGGCCGTGGCCTTCTGCAGCGCCGGGCCCATCTTCGTGCTGGTGGGCGTGGAGCACGAGAACGGCACCGACCCGCGGGACACCAACGAGTGCCGCGCCACCGAGTTCGCCGTGAGCTCGGGGCTGCTCACCGTCATGGTGTGGGTGTCCAGCGTCTTCTTCTTCCTGCCCGTCTTCTGCCTCACCGTGCTCTACAGCCTCATCGGCAGGAAGCTGTGGCGCCGGCGGCGCGGCGAGGCCGTGGCCACCTCGCTCCGGGACCAGAACCACAAGCAAACAGTGAAGATGCTGGGTGGGTCTCAGCGCACCCTCCACTCTCTCCCGGCCCCTCCTCTCCCGAGCTTTCTCCCTTCTCCCCGAGTCTCTACCTCTCTCTCTTGTTCTCTCTCTACCTCTCTGTTTCTCTCTCTACCTCTCTCTCCTGATTCTCTCGGTCTCTGTCTCCTCTGGAGTCTCTCGTTATTCTTTCTCTCCTGTTTCTGCTTTGAACTCTCTTTGGTCTCCTACATTTTCTGTCGTGTGTGCATGTCCCTGTCTCTCTCTAGGATTTTTAAAAAAACTTTTTACTCTTGTTTTTATATATCCGTTTCTCCATCTCTCTCTCTCTCTCTCTCTCTCTCTCTCTCTCTCTCTCTCTTTCTCTCCTTCCTTCCTCTCCCCCCCCCCCCAACTTTGCCACAGTCTTGACTCTTTTTAGGTCTCTATCTCTTTGTGTCTCTTTCTTCCCCGCTTTCCTTTCTCTCTTTCATGGAAACATGCAGTGCCCATGTCTTTCCCTAAAATGAGTTTTATATCAATCCAGACACTTTGCTTCAAAACTGCGATGTTTTATAAAAATCTATTGTGGTCTGTGGCTGTTAAAGGCGAGGTTAAGCTTCCTGCCTCAAGAAGAATTTGTGGATATCTAAGTTACACTAAGGAAATCTAGGAAGTATTCAGTGGTAAATTTAACCAAAGATCTGGTCAATTCGGATGATTCTGTCAGAGATGATTCATTTTTCTTTCAATGTTGTGATTTGCTTTATGCCCAGCATTTTTTTCTGATCAAATAATCGAATCAGTTCTGTTTACCCTGCTGCTGTTTGTACAGCGTTGTGAGGAAGTCAGTGACAAATCAATGCTGGCGTCTCCATTTCTTTCCATGATTACCTGTCTTTCCAGGTAGAACAGCCTACCATAACCAAGGATAACCTAGGATGGGCCGGCTTCCACGATGAGAAAGGGAGACTTTTTGGAAGCCAACAGCTGCCTTCTGCAAATGGTCCCTAATTTTTAAGCCATTAACTGTATAATTTTGTTTTTAATTTATTCACATCATTCCCCAAATGGTCCTTCAGGGAATGTTTGTAGTTAGTGTCCCAACTAGAGTCTGCCGAGTATGTACTGTATGCATTCAACTCTTTAAGTATATGTATTTGGTACAAGTGAAGTAATACAAAATGCCTTCACATCCAAGCAAAATATGCTTTTCTAGAACTAGAGTCTGCACCCTTTATGATTTGGACATTACAGTCAATACGGAGTTTACATTTGTGTGTGTGCAAAAGAGAGTTTATTCTTGCATGGAAAATAATACAATAATTAGTAAATTACCATACAAGAATAAACTGTTTCACGTACTCACAACTGTAACCTAATTTTGCCCACTCCTGTATTTGCATATTTAATACACTCATAAGCCATTCCAAGATGATTTGTATTTGTAATTTTACAATTCTTGGAATCCTGTATATTAAAGTGATTGTTTATTCAAAAATGCCCCAAATTGTCATTGTCTAGACCGGTGATTCTCACAATATGACTAGTAGATTGTAAACCTACTAGTGCCCTCCAGGGGCCTCTCATATTCACGTGGCTACTGTGGCAAACAGTTGCTACTACACAACGTAGTTTTGAGAATAACTTTAATCATTTTCTCCAATTTTATTTTTAAGCCATTAATTATCCTCATAGTGAACCAACACCAATGTTAATTTTCTTTTGCCTTGACAATTTGAAGAGCATCACTAAAGTACTACAAGGGCTAAAATATCTTGTTAATTTTCCTCTGATTTCAGAATTTTAAAAACTTAATCTAGAAATGCAGAGGACTTGAAAAAATGGGCAAAATGAAGACCTGGTTGGCTGATAATTATTGTTAGTTGGTTTTATGGGCTTTTGTACCACACTTATGTCTATTGCAGGCGACAAAGAATCATCCATCTCAGTGGTTCTCAATCTGGACTGCATATTCTGTCTTCTGTGAAACTTCAAAAAGAACAGAAAAAAACACAGGTGTCCTGGTCTCCTGAATAGAGATTTTAATTTAATGAATCTATATCACATCAGAGAAATCCATTCCTCAGGGAACCCTGACAGTTATTGTTGAGTTCAACACCTTTACTCACATGTGCTTAGTTGTGACAGACACGTGTAAAATGGTGGATTACTGTGAATAAATGGTCTAGTCAATTGAGTCAATATATACATCCAATCACAAAATCGCTCAAAAGTTGTTATGTAGTAAAGACTGGGAAGCTCAGTAAAAAGGGTTGAACTGTTGATCCAGACAGACTCAATCCTGGTGAAAATGTAGCAATGAGAAAGGGAAGAACATAATGGCTCTCTGAAGTCACTGGTCACACCACATAGAATCAAAACAGAACTGTCTTCCAAGTGAAACGTGATGTTCTGTGACATTTCTGGAACTGATGCTCACTCTCCCATTGTTCTTTTAGCTGTCGTGGTGTTTGCTTTCATCCTCTGCTGGCTGCCCTTCCACGTAGGACGATACTTATTTTCCAAGTCTTTCGAGCCTGGCTCCCTGGAGATTGCTCAGATCAGCCAATACTGCAACCTTGTGTCCTTTGTCCTCTTCTACCTCAGCGCCGCCATCAACCCCATTCTGTACAACATCATGTCCAAGAAGTACCGGGTGGCAGTGTTCAAACTTTTGGGATTTGAGCCTTTCTCCCAGAGGAAGCTCTCCACCCTGAAGGATGAAAGCTCCCGGGCCTGGACAGAATCTAGTATTCATACAAGACCAAACACATCGCTGAGCAGAGTCATCGCTTACTATTCTGCACTGGAAACCATAGCACAGCAGAACTTGGGAGGAAGTTGAAGGTTAACTTTGGAATTGGGGAGAGATAGGTCTGGAAACAGTTGGGAGGGAAGAAAAGATAGAGTTTGTAGTGTGTGAGAGGTTTAATTTGATTGCACGCTCATCCGTGCTCTCATACAGGATTTCTGCATATTCACTACCTGTGATTTTGCATTTTGCCGTTGGTGCTAGCAAGGGCTTTGCAATTTGGAGAAAGGAGAAGGTGCAGAGAGGGCAATTAGGGTAATTCTTGCTGGATAAATACTAAATCTGATTTACTTTTTCATAATGATAAAAATTTGATTAAAAGAATGAAATTAAAAATTTAAAACGTGAATTTTTAAAACTAGTAATTTTCATACCGCTCCAGATCAGTGCTGTCCAAGAGAAATATAATGCAAGATCCTGAAGCAATCAATATAAAAATTATTAAGAATAATTTTTTAATGCAAAGTCTTTGAAATCTGGTGTTTTACATTTACAGTGCACTTTAATTTGGACATTACGTTTTTATCAGTAATACTTGCTATATTTAGATTTCATAAAATTTGCAGATGAGAAAATAGATTTGTAAACCTAAGTTGTTCAAATACATGTAAAATTTTTCCAATAACTGAAACTATTACAAGTTTTAAAACTGAAAATGTATTGAAATTAAAAATTCAAGTATTCAGTGACAAATGTGGCTATTAGTTACTATATTGGCTAGTTCAGCTCTAGAGTATATGTAAAATTGTTGTTAACCTTACAAAATGTTAAACAATACTCATTTCCTGGAATGTTTTTATTGCAAAATAAGCATTGCAGAGTTTTAGCATGATGAATCCCCTAAATCACACCTGAATGCTCTATTCATGCTTGGAAGGAAATGGATATGAAATATAAGATGCAAAAAAAGTAATATAATATGCACTTTAAATCTAGGTGAATTATATGTGATAATATTCAGGAAATGAAACTTTATAAAAATTATAGAATATCACAAACTGCCTTATTTGGCTTAACAAAAATATTAAGTCAACCATAAGGCTTTGATTTGTGAATAAAGGAATAATTTATAACAGATTCTGGAAAGCTTACAGGAACCTAATGAACATAGAAAATTTTCAAATGGTGAAAAATTCAGAATCCCTTAAATGCTATTGCTTAGTGATGTTCCGGTTAGTTATTCCATTCCTTCACCTACAGCTATTCATTTCAAAATGCCTGTGCCACGTTCTGTCTTCAAATTAGTCTCCCTGTTTACATCCCACTGCTTATCGGATAGATGTGTTTACTTGGACTTCCAGTCTCCTTCTCAATCATAATGATGAATGATTGCATACCTTCAACTGGATATTGTACATTTTAGTTATAAATGTATAGTCAACTCTTTGAATATTAAATATATTATTCCAAAAATGATTTCTTCATAGTCCTGTGCAGTACTACGTCATATCAACAATTCCTACATGAAATTATTGGTTCAACTATGAAACTGATTGAACCATTTAGGGAAATTATTGCCATGATTGATTCCCCCGCCCCGCCCCCCCAAAAAAGTAAAGATTATTATGCTGAAGTAATTGATTGACTTTATTTTATTTATTAAATATATTTTTTATTGATTTTAGAACGAGGGGAAGGGAGAGGGATTGAGAGACAGAAATATCTATTAGCACGCCCCCTACTGGAAATCGAGCCAGAAACCCGGGCATATGCCCTGACAGGGAATCAAACTGATGATCTCTTGGTTCATGGGTCGACACTCAACCACTGAGCCACCCTGGCCGGGCTAATTGATTGACTTTATTTTAGAACATGAAAACATAATCATAATTAGAATGACTTCTCTAGAGAAGTATTTCCAAAATCTATTCTGACACTAAAAATGCTCAATTTACTCTAAATGCAGAACTTTAGCAAATTAATTATTCAGTTCTTGGGAGTGCATCAATATTTTTTAATATAGTTTATTGATTTTTTTAAAGAGAGGAAAGGAGAGGGATAGAGAGTTAGAAACATTGATGAGAGAGAAAGATCGATCAGCTGCCTCCTGCACACCCCCTACTGGGGATGTGCCCGCAACCAAGGTACATGCCCTTGACCGGAATCAAACCTGGGACCCTTCAGTCTGCAGGCCGACGCTCTATCCACTGAGCCAAACTGGTTAGGGCTGCATCAATATTTTTAAAAAATACACTGTTTATTCAAATCCGTGGGACACTAATTAGGACATTCAGCATTATTCTCCTAAATAGGGCCCACTAAATTCCAAAGAGGTAAGTCAGCCTCCTGAAACCCTAAAGTTTTTGTCTACAAATACATTCTACTTGAGAGAAAATAAGCAAAAAAGGCTTGACTTCTATCACACAGTTGATTGCCTTGGAGAGAAAAAAACACCTACCTGTTAATTAGTTGCTTGCCTATTCAGTGGTCCCCCTTTTCTTGTGGGTTCACAGGGAATAGTTTACATAGTAAGGACCACTGTTGTCCTTCACTGATGCTCATCTGGGACTCAGAGGATATGTTTAGGGAAAGGGATTTTTAATTTGTGCTTTCATATCATTGCATTTTTATTGTTTGTAATGTCTTTGTATCCTCATACTCCATAAATTGCTTAAGACTCAGGGAAAAGAGGAATTTACACTGAGGAAAATTGTTTCTGAAAGTCCATCATTTCAGACATTTAGTATGTGCATGGTATGTTGTAAGCTCTGAGATTAAAACACCAAGGATTTTATCCTTAATGAGCTATCCACTTGTGAGTTATGTTGCAGGAGATAACTGATAAATATATTGGGTTTAGAAGTAAACATCTCCAGTTGACACTGAATCAAATTATTCTCCAGTATTTCAAGGGGTTGTTCCTATTCCTGGTTATTCCTATTCGGCTCAAAATAAATTTAAAATGGGCTCTTCCTACACAAACCAGTCAAATATATAGATGCAGCTAATGTGTCTGCTAGTGGTAATTACACTCACAGCATTCTTCATTAACGTATGGAAAGCCAAGGCCTGGTTTCATTTTTAATCTGTGTTTCCATTTTCTTGATTACCACACCTTATACTGTGTCACAAAATCAAGGTTTGTATAGTTTATAGGAAGAGACTATTATATGAGTAAAAACTTTTTAGTAATTGCTTTAAGGAAGACATCCATTGCCATGAATTAGTTAAAACTGGCAGTTTTGTGGCATGGGATTTAGAACTGGAAACCATTTCTTTACAATCCTCTTTTTTATTGCAATAAAAGTTCTTGTGATGAGATTTGACTTGAAATTCAAGCTTTTGTTAAGAACTGGAAATCATTACAAACAATTTAAAATTATTAGTTCAACATTGACAATTTCTTCATTTAATTTTTTTAATCCTCACCTGAGCATATTTTTTCCATTGATTTTTAGAGACAGTGGAAGGAAGGGAGAACGAAAGAGAGAGAGAGAAACATTCAATTAGTTGCCTCTGTACCTGCCCCACCAGGAAGGGATCAACCCAGGTACATGCCCTTGACCAGGAATCAAACCCCAGACCCTTCAGTGTGCAGGCCAACGCTCTACCCACTGAGTAACACAGTCCAGGGTAAACATTGACAATTTTAACTATATAATTTTGTTTTTAATTTATTCACATACTAAATTTAACATTACAAAAACACACCATTAGACTTTTTGCAATACTGGTGCCCTTTTACAAGACTAGTGAAAATACTTTCTCGCCTTTTAAAAAACAGCATGCACATCTTTGAAATGTGCCACACATATTTACATATATCAAAATTTCTTGTCACACTGTCTGTGTGAATAGTATAGAGCTTTCTTCCATTAAAAATACTGTATCTAGTATAAGTAATGTCATTAAAAGCTAAAGATAATGTCATTCATGGTTTGTAGAGGGCCACCTGGGAGGCACCTAGGCATTTTGTTATAATTATTGTCAGCTGAACTCAGAGCATAGGCAGAGCCACACCCTGGGAACATGCTTCCCCAATAAGGCTGGGCATGTTAATCAGGCAGGGGCGGAACTAGATATGTAAATCTAGGCCTTTAAAATAAACCTGCTGTGTGGCTCAGCCCGCTTTGCCGCCTCTCCATCAGAGAGGATGGTGCCCACCTGGCCCCAGCTTAAAATCTATTTCTGCATCTTGGTCTTTCTTTAATTTCTTAATCCCCAGCTCCTCCACTCAGCAAATGGACTGTTTCCTTTTCCATGCGGGACAAGGAAAAGAGAGAAACAGCCCCCCACAATGGTTCATTGTCTAATGATCCTCCTATGATTTCTTTGCAATTAAAATTGTAATACTAGCCAGGATACATACAATTCTAACTTAGCCAGGTGAATAGTGATTTGTGTTAATTCAGTGAATTGATAACACATTTTTTTTTAATCCAGAGAATGAACTACAAGTCAAAATCAGCAGAAAGCAATGTACTGGTGGCAAACATTAACTGCTTTAAGCGCACGTTTCTTAATTATTCACATTACGTAAACTCAGTCATGTTAATTCTTGGCAATATTCTCAGTTTGAAGCAGGTGAAGGAGAGAGTTTGGATGAAGCTTGCTTTATGTTTTTCCTTTTGAACGCAAATTCTTGCATGGTGTTGGAGGCTAGCCATTTTTTTAAGTGTCATGCTGATATCCCTCTCAATTGCCTGGATATCTGCTGGAATTCCAGTGAGCATTTTATGCTGTGACACAATGTATCCTTTGCTCAAGGGACTGTCAACTACTCTCAAAACTAGCAAACCGTTAAAGACTTCAAAAAGCATGCCTCATGTCAATTCTCCAAAATGTTTACAAATGTCAATTCCAGAAGAACTCCTCTTCCCTACCCCCATCCAGCCCCAGAGAAAGTATTGGGAAGAATAGTTTGGAAGATTTTTTTGTTGATTTTAACACATCAGATCCAAACATTTCTCTAGCTCAAACAACAAAACCATTTATATTTTTCACTTTTAGCACTATAGGTTTAATATACCAGAGAGCATTTGCTCATATAAATATATTCAAACCTCATAGTCTCCTTTTTCACTGATACCCCCTGTATTCTGTGTCTGTATATCATGTACTGCTTGGTCAATTTGTGCTGTTCAATGTGTCATAAATGTCACTAATGATATTTTGACTTGTGATTCTTTTTTAAGGTCTTGATGAATATTAAAGAGTTTACTATAACTCACGTACCTGTCTTATAAAATCAGAACTCACGTACCTGTCTTATAAAATCAGGCATCAGTTTTCTTTCCTATGTGTGTCCTTAACCAAACAGTTGCTTAATAAGTGTCTGTTTAAAGTTTATATCTACTTTCTTCCATATGCAGTTATAAATCTTGGTATCTGGGATATTTTACTTCTACTGCAGGAAGAGGGAGAGAGGGAATAGAAACATCAGTGATAAGAGAGAATCATTGATTGGCTGCCTCCTGCACGCCCCCCTTGGGGATTGAGCCCATAATCTGGGCATGTGTCCTGACCAGGAATTGAACTGTGACCTCCTGGTTTATAGGTCATTGAACTGTGACCTCCTGGTTTATAGGTCAACGCTCAACCACTCAGCCCCTCTGGCTGGTCTACTGCTGTTCTACACTCAGTTCTATTTTGCCTTTTTACTTTCTGACATACGTATTTTGAACAATGGGATGTTTGTTGTAGTGAATTTTATTTTCCCATGGGCTCCGACATTTAAGGATGAGTTAGGCCATTTCTGTAAGCACCAAGAAGAGCCAGCGACCCTGTGGTGGACTGTGATCCCCATGCTCCCTCCACCTCTCCGTCTCTTACTGCTCCGTTACCCTCCGAGTTGATGGTGTTGCAGCCTCCATGGTGTTACACTAACGTGTGATCCAAAGACCACAAGCTCTCTGAGTCAAAGGAAGGGTTCCTTTCACCTTGCCCTTTGCAGCCACTCACTGCATGTCGTTGGGACAAAAGAAAATTTAAAAACTGGATTATGTGTCACCTGGGCATTAGCTTCCAGACATGTGGACTCCAGGGCCAATCAAATTAAAGCTAAAATTGGAGGATCACCAAAGGTGGCCAACTTTTATTAGCCAATTATGGGACTTCAAAATACCCTACCAACCATGTCAACTTAAAAAAACAAACATTAAACTTAAAAAAAGTAGAAAAGACATAATCTCAGAATAAAGGATCCTCACAGTGTGAAAATTCAACATAGTCTACATATCATGAAATCATAGATGTATGCTGGTAATGTGAGTTATTACCATTGTGAATTTGGTAATAATTAGTAACACCCTAAGGTGATCCAAAGAAGCACATCATGAGATTCGCTTTTATTGATCTGCTGAGGCCCTTTCCAATGTCTTCTGACCCCTCCCATCCACCTTCCCTTCAATCCACTGTCCATCACATTCTTTCAGGC